GCGGGCCCGCTGCGGGTGTCGGGCGACCCCGCAATAGGCGACGCGCTTGTCCGCGAGTACCGCTGCTTCGAAGTGGCGGCGGAATGCCACGATGACCGCGACCGCACGCGCACCGAAGCGCTCACCTCCACCGACTACCCGCACTGACACGACGCGACGGAGGTCGAGTGGTCCACCACGTGTAGCAGGATGGAATGGATCGTGCAGCAGTCGCTCGGCCTACCCCCGCACTGCACAGCGGTCTCTGACGTGGGCGACGTGCAACCGAGCCACCGCGCGCACGCGGGCCCAAGTTTCGGCATCCGCGGTTTGCGCCGCCGCCTGCAGTGAGGCGCGGGCGCGGCCTGCGCAACCGTAGTTTTGAACGTGATCAGTTGTCAGTTCCCCGCAGCCGCTCGCGCCTTTAACATTGCCGATTGCATAACAATGCCAACCAAAGGCTGCCCCACGTTGGATTGCGGTGCCCCGAAAGCCCCTGGCCGGGAAGCCAAACCGCTCAGTTGCGTCCGTTTTCTGCGACGTCATCCAGCTCGCAGCTGTTTGGGCCTCCTGGCGAACCTGCAGCGCGGTTCCAGACCGTGCCATGTCCGCGTACGAGGGCCTCAAGGCGGCGACCGGGGGCTGGTTTTGCCGCCCTCTGCCAAAGCCCATGGCGACGGCCGCGCTGCCGAAGGGCGAGCTGGAACCATTTCTCAAGCTCGCCAACGACGTCGGGGACCACGAAACCCGCTTGTCCACTACATTGACTTCATCACCGGGCACACGGACCCAATCCCCCCCGAGCTTGACGAGCTGCACAAGGCGGCGCGGAAGGATGACGAGCACCACAGGTTGCCGCCACTGTTCGGCTTGAAGACGACGCCGCCGAGCCACGTGACCGCCCAGATCTGTATCTTCGACGGCCCCGACGGCTCGAAGACCATCATCAAGCGCTGCAAACCCAATAAGACGAAGACGGCCATCTTCGCCAGCATGGCTTTCGGCAGGGTCAAGAAGCTCTGCTTCCAGCGCCCCAAGACGGAAGGCCTCGGAAAAAGATGGCGAGGGCGGGGTGGCATTTTTTGCAAGTTCTCTACCGCCGAAAGAAATTGACACCCTGGCACTGTCGCCGCCCAGGCGCGGGGTCCAGGTGCACAGTGCGCCTTTGCGCGCTTTGACGGGAAGCACTTCGGGGCGTTTTTCTTGCCGCCAGACGTCAAGACGAAGGCCGCGGTGAACGTGTTCTACGAGTTGTCGGGCGACGCCATCAACGCTGGCTTCGAGTGCATCCAAAAGAACTCGCCCCGCTGCGCGGCCGACCTCACGCAGTTAATCTGGCAGGCGAAGGCGCTGCGCAACGGCGCCCCCTCCACGGCTGGCCCATTGCCTCGGTGGCGAAGGCGCCGAGCGGGCTCGCAGCGGAGGGTTCGCTCGCGAAGAAGGAGACCGAGCGGCACATCACCCCGACGGAGGAACACTTCAGGCCGCGGGTGCTCAACGCCATGGCAGAAATCATGGGCCCGTTCGGGCCCCTCGTGCGCATTGGCGAACCGAATTTCGGAAAGACGCCCCTGGGGCGGCCGTGCCTCTCCGCGCTCTGCCGCCGCAACGCCCGCGTCCACGAAATGGGCCCCGAATCCGCGCGCGCCCGCGCGACGCCCGAGATCGACTTCCTGCGCGGGGGGCCCGGATCTCTCACGATGGGCGACTTCTTGGGTGATGGTTCCCTCAACCAGTTGCCGTCGAACATGGTCAAGGCCTTGCTGGACGTCGGCCAGTTCGAGTCCATGCGCTGGGCGCGGCGGGGGCGACCAAGGGGGTGAAGGGCGAGCCGCGCGCCATTGCAGACCAGGTGCACGACCCCGAGCCAGTGAAGAATGACTGCCGGCCGTCCGCCGAGTGCCAGGATTTCTTCAACCTCGCCAGGCCAGCCTTTCACGAGAAGGCTACTCGCGCTTGCGCGATGGCACTCATGAAGCGGGGGGGCCCTTCGTGAACACTAAGACTCACGCATGCTGGCGCGCCCCGGGGGCCGAGGAGGCCGACGCCCAGCGCAAGTCGATCTGCCGCTTGGACGAGTACTTGACGACGGAGGGCAAGCGACTCCACGGCCTGTTCAAGGCGGGGGACCTCACGCCACCGACGAACAAGGACGCGCTGCTTCAGAAGGAGCAAACCTTTGTGGAAAACGCCTTCGGGGCCAGAGCCACGGCGACGGCTGCTCCGGCGCGCGCGCAGATCGCCGTGAAGGAAGAGCCCCAGTCTCCAGAGACACGGAGGTTCAGGAGCTTGGCTGCCTTCTGGCACGATCGACATCGACAGCTCCCCGCCCCCAGCGAAGCTGCAGGCAACTGGGGCGTCTTCGGCATCTGCGGCTGCTGTCCCAACCCGCGGCGAGCTGGAGGTGGATCTTTCGCAGGCCTTGGGCGAGAGCGGCGTGGTTGCGCCTCCTCGAATGTCATCAGCAGGGGAGGAAGAGGCCGCCGAGTCTTTCCTCTGCTTCGAATGAACGGGCGGCTGCGCGCGCCCGCGCCCACAGGCGCGCTGTCGGCTCGGGCCCAGGATGTGCCCCAGAAGAGCCATCTGCGCGCTTGATGAACACCCATGATTCGAGCATGCTCACCACTTCTGTTGAACTCCCTAAAAAACAAGCGTCGGGTACATTGAGATGCGCCGCAGGCCAGTCACAGGCCAGCGTGACATCGAAAACCAAGAACATGAGGATGTTATATATATATATATATATACATATATATAAACCTTCAGACTGGAGCACTCCAAAAACACAAAGAAAAATGCAAACAAAGTGTGGGAGGCTTTCTCGGTTACGGCGGCGGGGGTGGCGTAAGTATTGAAATCTATGTTTTTGGGTGGTTTGGTTTTCCTGTGTTTTTGGAGCTTTCCAGTCTTGAGGCTTTGGTTTGTTTGGTTGTGGCTTGGTTGTTCATTGTGCTTCTGTTTTTTTTTCAATGCCGTCTTCCTCTCCCCCCTCGCGGAAGGAAGACCTGTCGCGCTGGAGTCGGAGGAGCAGGAGGAGGAGGAGGAGGAGGACGAGGACGAGGAGAGGGGAGAGCAGGGGGAGGAGAAAGAAGAAAGAGGAAAAAGAGGAAGAAGCAGAGAAGCAGGGAGAGGCATGATGACAGATGAGGAGGAACACGTCTGAACGCGTGGGGGGGTCTACCACATTTATGCACACACATGTAGACACATGCGCATGTACATATACGCAGACGTATACAATTACATATACAGATCCACGTACACACGTATAACTAAATGCATAAACATATGGACTTATACATACAAAAGTGCATATGCACATGCAAAAACATACACACATACATTTGCAAGTACATATACATACACATACACGTGCACCCACACTTACATATACACATTCATATAGACATACAGCCATATGCATATACCTAATAATAAGTATACACTTGTATAATTACATGTGTATATACATATATGAAAATCTGCAGATCAATATTCAGATACATGCGCAAATGCGTAAAAGAACATATACACCTACACAAGCATTTACATGTACACATACATATACATCCCCGTATACAAATACCCATACATATACCCCTACGTATACATGTATACACACGTCTGCATAAGCCCGTAATCAGATGCATACCTATTTATATATATAGAAAATGTATATAAATTTATATATACACGTATACAAACAATACTCATATAGATAAACATGTATATACATATGTCTATGATTGGCGGATTCCTGGGCGCCAGCCTTACAGATTCACAGCACTTTTGCTCCAGACCGACCACGCTGTCAATCTGTGTGATTGCGGCCCAGAGCCGCTCGCATCTAGATGCCTCAGCCTCGCAGAGGTTACCCCCCGCGAGGCAATCACAACTCCAGTGCAAGTGTAGAAAGGCTCTAACAGCAGGGTGGGACAAAAGGGGGACCGAGGGAGGGAAGCTTGAGCATTGATGCAACGACGGTCGCAACGGCGCCCTCTCATCCTATCTCGCAGAGAACACCAGGCACGCCAGAGCAATCTATGCTTGGCGGATTCCTGGGCGCCAGCCTTACAGATTCACAGCACTTTTGCTCCAGACCGACCATGCTGTCAATCTGTGTGATTGCGGCCCAGAGCCGCTCGCATCTAGATGCCTCAGCCTCGCAGAGGTTACCCCCCGCGAGGCAATCACAACTCCGAACCAGAAAGCAAACACTGAAACTTTGCGAAACTCTCACACTGGCCCTCAGGCCAAATATCTAGTTAAAGCACAGAAAGCTTTACTCCGCAACGCTTGTTTGTAGGCTCTACCAAGCTCCACGCAAAGCCCTCTGGGATGCGGCTCGGCGATGTGGGTGAGAAATCGCCCAGTACTGTCTCTTCCTTCAAGCACCCGGTGCGGGCACTTCGAAAAACTGCAAACGCCGCGGCCTCGGCACTGGGCCCCTTTGAGCCCGGCAAGGTCGAGATGACAAAACCGAAGGCGGGTTCGCTTACGCCACGGGGTTCCGAAAGCGCAGAAATCAACATCTAGATCGAGCACGTTACCGGAACGGGCGAGCGCTTTGGCCCCAGGGAGACTCCAAAGCCACGAGGTCGAAGGATTCTCGATAACCACAGGGACCTTAAGAGATCTGCAAAGGGAAAAGAGGCCAAAGCTGAAACGGGCTAAACGGTTGCCACGGGCAACCTTCAGACAGTCGGCGGGATTCAGGTGAGGGAGTCCAAGGGGGTGCTCAGCGTCTCGAAGCGGCGGAGGTCCATTAGGCCGATTACGAGCACGCGACAGTGACTGACACGGAGTAGCTATCCACACACCCAGGGGCATTTTGCTTCGCACCCAGCCCCTGACCAACTTCTGAATTTTGCTGGACAAGACATCGGCAGCAGCGTCATGGATAATGTCCAGTTCGAAGCAGGGGAGACCCCTCAGGACTAACCGAAACGATCGAGAGAGGTTGCCGCTTCCACTGAAGACTTCCAGCATCACTTGCTGTCCAGATTCGTTCACACATCGAGCTAGGTCGCGCAGAGGACGGCGCCAATTGCATCGAGGCTGTGCCTGGCGATGCCCCGAATGTGGTGAGGGAGCATGTTTAGCCGTTCTTGAATCCGTCTTGCCTCGGTGTACCGCCTCACGACCTGATCTGAAGCCCACCGACCTCGCTTTGTTATCTCGTCTTGGGTGAGGGCCCGCACCAGCAGCTTGTGGCCCGCCTCTTCGTGCCAGGGGAAGGCGGGGCTGTCTAACACCAGCGAGTCGTCGTACACCCCCGTCTGGCCTGCTACCCCGCTTACCCTCAGATGAAGCGTCATGCTCCAGGTCCTGCGCGGGCCTTTGAGCAGCACTGACGGCGGCACCAGGCTGTGGGTGGTCAGGGAGAGCGCCTCCGACGGCCCCAAGTGCAGGGCGAAGGCCACGGCCGTGAGTTTTGCCAGCACTCGCTCCCTGCCCTGAACTAACTGGCGGATGACAAGGCAGCAGGTGGCCCACGGCAGCCGAAGCCTCGACCGAGGCGGAGCCCGCGTGCGCCATCCCCGAGCAGCTCGGGTCGCACACGGCCGGCTGCTGTACTCCAAGCCCAGGTGGCACCCCGCGAAGGCCAGCGACGCGAAGAGCTTCCTCGCGTCCGCGCTCTCGCCCCCCATCAGGAACTGCTCGCGGATGTACATCACCAGGGTCTCGTTCAGTTGCTCCTCGGCCACCGCCCCCAGGCGCGAGCGCCCGGCCCAGAGGTAGAAGCGGTGGGCTCGCCTCTCGTAGTCCCGGCGGGTGGCGGCGGACACCGACTCCTGCTCCAGAACCGAGTGCCTCTCTCCGGGCATCGGAACGATATCCCGGCTGCAGCCCTGGCGGCGCGGCAGGCGCCTGGCTGCTTGGCGGCCCCCCTCCACGCGAGCTCGGACAGCAAGGCTCGTCGTAGAGGCCGAGGCCCGGCGGCGGCGAGACGAAGCCACGGCCGCGCCGGCCCTCGGTCCTCCCCGACTCCTCGGCAGGCCGCCCGTCACCTGAGCAAGGGCTCCTGCGCCTGGCACCCCCAGCGGCCGCTCGATCAGCTTCAGCTGTAAGGCCAGGCCGGTTCCGCGAGGCTGAGTCCGCACTGTTGTGCTCAGAAGGCACCCAGCGCCAGACGACGCCGAAGCCACTGCACAGCGCTAGAGCTGCGACCTGACGACATACTCGCTGAAGCGGCGCCGATGAGGACCGGCCCTTGAGCAAAGCCAGCAACGGGGCCATAGAGTCATTCAGGATGATATGAGTGCGTCTGAAATTTCCAGAGCTCCGAAGAAGGTGTTTTAGACAGCTGACCAGAGCCCTGCCCTCAAGGATGACCTGGGGCTCCTCACGCTCCCAAGGCTTCGAGAGAATACGCTTCCAGACACCACCCCAGACCTCCTTCGAGACGCTCCTGAACTTGGCCTCTGGGGGCTTCAGGAAGACCTTGATGGGCCCCTCGAACATCAGGCCCTGCGAGGCCTTCAGGACATGGTAGGGCTCGGTGAACCCCGTGCTCGTCTCGGTCTCCTCGGTCTCATCCTTCCACATGCCGATGTCGAAAGCTCGGGGAGGCATCGACTTCTCGTTGTCTCGCCCAAACCTCCATCGCTCGTTGAAGGACGACAACTCGACGACCTGATCGCGCGTGAAATCCTTCTCAGTGATTCCAACCCCCCACCACGAGGCGTCCACGCAAGAGACCACCTTTGAGAGAGGCCTGCCCGCGTTTCTGAAACATAGGACCAACAAGGACTTACACCACCGCAGTTCACGTCGAACGGATCCCCAAAGACGTAATGACCTATGACCAGCCACGCGGATGAACGAGTACACGGCACCCAGAGCGCTCAAGAGTTCCCGCCTGATGAGGCCCCGAGATGTGCAGTGCGATATGACCCTCCGGAGCGTGTCTCCAGTACAGCGGTCTTGCCTCAAGATCTCCTGGATGCCCAGACGCAACCTCCACCGTAAACGAGGATTCAGCCCGATGACAGCATCACTCGAACCAAACTCCCAGCCCAAAGTCTGACCGCCTACTCCCTCCTCGACCTCATGCGTAGGCAACCCGACTCGATTTAGTTCGCGACCCACGGCCCGGGCGATGTCCCCAGCGCGCTCCATAGACCGTGACAGTGAGACAAAGTTGTCAACGTACTCAGTGTGAATGAAATCATCGCTCAAACTCGGGGCTGGTCGACGATCAACAAGGAGGTTATGTGTACTGACGCCCGGGACTAGAGAACTGATGCGCGCATTCAAAGTCTGGCAGATCCAAAGGCTCACGCTCCAACCCATGGGCGGACATCGGAAACGTGGAACCACCTTTTGCGAGGGATGAACGGGGGCGCCCTCGCCAACGTGAGAGAGATTGAAGTCGCCAGCCCTGACGGGCGGGAGGCCGAAGTATTTTTGCAACCATGGAGGCAGCAGAATGTTGTGGAAAGCATCCGCGATGTCTACGCCCGCCACAGCGATTGGGTCATCCCCGTCTACGGCGATCTGGCTGAAAGCACCGCCTGAGGCTAACTCAACTTTGTCGGCCTCGCCGAAGCGCAGTGACGAGTAGCGGCCATCTAAGATCATCCTCAGATCGCCATTTTTCTTGTGAACGAAAAGAGCCCGACCGAGCACTCGCAGTCCAGCTGGAAACTCACCAGGTTAGAGTCCACCAGCCGCCGAAGCACTCGCTGATACAGCCTAGGGTTGCGAAGGTTGGGATCAACGTATAGCCGACGTGGTCCCTCAGTACGGATGCGGTCCAACCCCTTGTTCTCGGGGCAGCAACAAATCTTGCAAACGATTGGCGATCTTCCGGCCCGCATCACCAGCCAAACGCTCTAGCGTCTGTGGGGAAGTCGTAGCAGCAGGCAGAGAGATGCGGTCGACGTTGTCGAAGCCAACCGGGGCGATGGCCACGGCCTCCCCGTGGTGCGCCTGAGACACGCGAAGCTCCGCAAGGGCTCCTGGGCCGTCGAGGTCCATCGGCGGCTCTCCGAAGCGGCGAACAGCATCTTCCAGCTCCCGGTGCACCTCGGCATGGACAGCAAGCAGCGGCTCTCCAGCGGCGCGACGCGGAAGGTCGTCATGTCCACTTCCACCCAGGTACATGTCGTTGAGAGTCACAACTATCTCATTCACCATGTCGAGCCTGTGGTGGCGACGGTGTACCCGCCGAGCAGCTGTCCGAGAAAGGGTCTTCGTGTTCTGAAGCTCTGCAGAGGAAGAAGCAGGGTCAAGGCGAAGAGGAATCGGGAAGACATCGCGCTGGCGACCATCCCGGCGAGAGGAATAGCGGCCCCCACGTACATCACGGACTCCAGGCGGGGAGACTGAAGCCGCCCTCTGTTGCATCTCGGGCGGGTCGAGGGGCATCCCGTCCGAGGTCACTCTCATTGCCCCGAGAGGGCGCGGCGATCCTCACGCGCATTGCGCAGCGACTTGAGGATGTCCGCGCCCCTCTCTGCTATGGCGCACACGTGGTGTAGAAGGTCAGGACACACCATCATCCTGCCATCCTCCTTCGATGCCAGTGCGAAGGCGGAGGCCTCGTCCAACAAGTCGAACTCGGCGGAGCCGTGGCCACGACGGCGTCCCTGGAGGGCCGCGTGTAGTGAACCCTCCGCCTCCATCGCGTACACGTACCTGTAGAGCTGTGCCTGTCGCATGGCCTCCCCGACGCCCACAAGGTCTGGGAGACTCACCTGATCCCAGCGGGCTAAGGACGCGATCATCCTCATGATGCTCTCGTAGTGGGCCGCGCCGTAGTCATCGCTCGTCAAATGAGGCTGATTCCCGAACTGCGTGAAATGCTCCAGCGGGCCTCTGCAACGTCGGTCGACAAAAATGGAGCACCCCACCGCCAAACGAGGGCCCTCCAACGGCCATCCTGGAAGCGGCGTATGCTCGAACTTGGCGACAGCGTCCCGAAAATGGATACGAGTGCGATGGCCATCTGACTGCAGTGTGATGCCAAGGAGCCTGGCGTCAAGTCCAGTCTCAGCGCCAGCGTAGAGTGCCAGGCTGGCCGACACCCGTCGGTTTCCGATCCAGTCCTTGTCGGTCCTCATGATCCCGACGTCGCCACCGAGTCGCTCCGGCACATTCAGGGCCGCAACCGTTCCGCGATCTCCCGCGGCAGTCGTCGCCGTACCCCCAGCGCTGCCTCCAGCAACGCCACCGTCGGCACCGACCAGTTGCGGCCCAGGTCCCACGCCGCGCAGCTCAACGTCGGAAGCCCGCAGCGTGCCCTCAACAGGAAACTCAGCAGCGCGGCCCCCAGCGGTCTCCCAACCCCGGTAAGTCTCGTCGGCCACCTGAGTCACCCCATCTATGATTGCGGTCTTCTCATTCACCGTCAAGCGTCGCCCGAGCCCGTGTAGCAGCCCCGCATCCTGAATTCCGCGGTCACGATGAGTATCCACGAAGCGATAGCCCAGAACATCAGCGCTGTCCCTGCTGCAGTCTTCTTTGCAGGCATCATGATCAGGCGCGCTGCGGCTCAGCAGCAGACGAGTCTGAGGTCCAGTTGGCGGATCCTCTGCTTGCCCCCAGATCCGACGCAGGTGCCACTGCTGCTCGCCGGCGAATAGCACCCACACCCAAGGGCGGACGTATCCCAGCCGGGCGACCATTGTCGATGGCAGCAGGAGTCCGGCGGCCTGGCGATCGCCAAGAGCACACGTTCCTCACGCACGAATATACCAAGAGCACCACCGCCTGCAACAAAGCGATCAGCGCGTGAAGCCACAGGGCCACGATCTCGCCCAGCCAGCCGCCTGACACCGAAGAGCCCTCGGTCGGTCCTGACGTTGGATTCTCACCCGGAGCAGCGGCGCCAGGTGGCCCAGAGGCAGCTGCAGCCTCCGCCGCAGGTGGCGGCACAGGAGGTGTTGAGCTCTGACCTCCGCCGGCGATCCCGCCGGCCTGCAAGGGATTCAGGCCCGTCGGACACTGCAGATGCGGGCAGTTGGGACAGTGCAGGGTGGGGCACGATGGGCAGTCAGGGCACGTAGGACAAGGCTGCGTCCGCCACCAGTATGCCGTGAGGAGCTGAGTGACGGCGCCCACGAGCCAAACCCCGTTGCGGAGTACAGGCATCTGGACGCCACAAAAGCTTGAGCATTGATGCAACGACGGTCGCAACGGCGCCCTCTCATCCTATCTCGCAGAGAACACCAGGCACGCCAGAGCAATATACGTGTACAAATGTATGTGCGTGTGTGTTCATGTATGTGTGTAGTACGACTACTACAATGAGCACCTATCTACACTACAATTGACCTGGAACCACCCCCGGAGGGGTTCCAGACGGCCTAAGGGAGCCCCAAGACAGCCCAACGGGGCCCCCAGACCGCCCCAGAAGAGCAGCAAAAGGCCAAAAGGATTGCCCCGAAGGACCAAGAGGTCCCTAGAGGTCCCCAACACGGCCCAGGAGACCCCCAGGACGGCTTGAAAACTGCCTCGAGAGACCCCGAAGAGGGCCCACTCGGGACCCTGCATTCGTACGGCGACGGTCAGAAGAGCAACATATCCTCTGCAGGTGCGGATAAGAGTGAGGGGAGGCGGGGACGATGGCAGTCCACGAGGCTCTGAAGAAGCCGCCACAAAAAAATATATACAAATTACACACCGAGCCCGCCGCAGGCGCCGACATTTTCTTTAAAGTAATGTGGATGGATCGCGGGTGTGTCGCGGACCAGGTCGCGGGTGGATCGCGGGTGGGTAGCGGGTAGGTCGCCAGTGGGTCGCCGGCGGGTCGCGGGGTGGCTCGGCTGGGTCGCGGCTGGGTCGCGGGAGGGGGCGCGGGTGGGTCGCAGGGTGAGTCGCGGGTGGGTCGCGGGTGGGTCGCGGGTGGGTAACGGGCGGGTCGATGGGTGGCTCGTGGTGGTCGCGGGTGGGTCGCGGCTGGGTCGCGGGGTGGGTCGCGAGTTGGTCGCGGGTGGGTCGCGGGTGGGTCGTAGGCGGGTCGTCGCGGGTGGGTCGCGGCTGGGTCGCGGGGTGGGTCGCGGGTGGCTTGCGGGTGGCTCGAGGGTGGGTCTCAAATGGATCGCGGATGGGTCGCGGCTGGGTCGCGGGTGGGTCGCGGGTGGGTCGCGGGCGGGTCGCGGGTGGGTCGCGGGTGGGTCGAAAATGGGTCGCAGGCCAGGTCGCGGGTGGGACGACAACAAGCAACAAAACAGCAAACAACGCAGCAGCAACAACAACAATGCGCACAGCGAAACCTCATGTCAGCCACGCGCCCACGGACAGTGAATGACCGTTCGGCGTCATCACGCTGCTATATATACACATAAATATTCATACATACATCCATACATTCATACATTACATCACAATACACTACAACACATTACATTACATTACATTACATTACATTACATTACATTACATTACATTACATTACATTACATTACATTACATTACATTACACTACACTACATTACATTACATTACATTACATTACATTACACTACATTACATTACATTACATTACATTACATTACATTGCATTACATTGCATTACATTGCATTGCATTACATTACATTACAGTACATTACAGTACATTACACTACATTACATTACATTACACTACATTACATTACATTACATTACATTACATTACATTACATTACATTACAGTACATTACATCACATCACATTACATTACACTACATTACATTACATTTCATTACAATTACACTACACTACATTACATTACAATACAATACATTACATAACAATACATTACCTTACCTCACATCACACTACATTACTTGACATTACATTACATCACATGAACATTAAATTAACATTACATGAACATTACATTACATTACATCACATTACCTTAAATTACATTACATTACATTACCACATACGGCATTACATTACATTACATTACATTACATTACATTACATTACATTACATTGCATCGCATTGCATTGCATTACAGTACATTACATTACATTACATTACACTACACTACATTACATTACATCGCAGCACAATACATTACCTACATTACCATAATTACATTGCATTACATTACATTACATTACATTGCATTACATTACATTACACTACATCATTATAGTACACTACATTACATCACATTACTCTACATCACAATACATCACATTACATTACATTACATTACACTAACATTAACATTAACATTAACATTACATAAACATTGTTTTACATTACAATACATTACATCACCTTACCTTCCATTACATTACATTACAGTACGTTACATTGCTTTACATTTACATTGCATTGCATTACACTACATTATTTTACAGTACAATACATTACATCATTTTACATTACATTGCATGCATGCAAACAGACACACATGTATGCACGTAACACCCCGCAAATGTGGATAAGAGTGAGGGGGCGGGCGCGGGCGACGCGGGCGTCGCAGGCTTTCCACCTCCACCTGGAAGGAATTCGAAAACAACCCGCCGCAGGCGCCGAAAATGTTGATTTGTACACTGAACGCGGTTTGGGTCGCGGGTGGGTCGCAGGTTCTCCACCTGGAACGAATCCAAAAGAAACCCGCCGCGGGCGCCGAAAAACTTGGGTGGGTCGCGGGGTGGGTCGCGGGTGGGTCGCGGGTGGGTCGCGGTGGGTCGCGGGTGGGTCGCGGGTGGGTCGCGGGTGGGTCTCGGAGTGGGTCGCAGGTGTGTCTCGGGGTGGGTCGCAGGTGGGTCGCGGGTGGGTCGCCGATGTAAAAGAAACCCGCCGCAGGCACCGACGTTTGGGTTTGTTCACTGAACGTAGTTTGGGTCGCCTGTGGGTCGCAGGTTCTCCACCTGGAACGAATCCAAAAGAAACCCGCCGCAGACGCCGACAATTTTGAGTGGGTCGCGGGGTGGGTCGCAGGTGGGTCGCGGGTGGGTCGCGGTGGGTAGCGGGTGGGTCGCGGGTGGGTCGCCGGTGGGTCGCGGGTGGGTCGCCGGTGGGTCGCGGGTGGGTCGCCAGGTGGGTCGCGGAGTGGGTCGCGGGTGGGTCACGGGGTGGGTCGCGGGTGGGTCGCGGGTGGGTCGCGGGTGGGTCGCGGGGTGGGTCGCGGGGGTGTCGCGGGGTGGGTCGCGGGTGTCGCGGGTGGGAACAACAACAACAACAACAACGAAAACAATAATCCGCATCGCGGAATTCCACTTCAGCCACGCAGCCAGGGACAGTGAATGTACAATACTGCATTGGCGCTTCACGCCATGCACCGTGATCCTTGAAGCTTGGCGCGCAGGCGAAGTCGCGGCGGACAGGCAGGAAGGCAAAGCAGAAACAATGACGAAACCTCCTCGTTGCCTTGCCCGACATCGTCTTCATAATGATGGCATGCGTTTTCGTTCCCTCATGTTTCCTTTTCCAATACCCCATTGTCGCCCTCCCCCTCGAAATACCCATACTCCTCTGCTCTTTTTGCGGAGGCTCCTCATTGGAGAGTTTCTTGGGGGCCTCACGACAAATTTACATTGCTTTTGGTGACCTTCTGGAGGCCTCCTGGGCGCTTTCGAAGCCTCTGGGGGCTTCCTCGGGCCACCCTGTTTCCAATTGCGGTCCCCTCTGAACGACCAGGCCACACTTTGGAATGCTTCGGAAGGCGTCTTGGGGGCAACTTGGGCCATCATTGGGCTCTCATTGGGCCACCTTGGGGTCCTGTTGGACCGTTTGGGGGGTCTCTTGGACTGCCTGGAAGCCCTTTCGGATAGTATCGTCGGGTCTCTTAGGCGGTCGTCTGGAAGACCGAAGAACAGAGCATTCTCAAAATCATACAAAAACCATTGGAAATTACTGTACTTCTGCATTTCGCAAGCTTCTTGGGGGTGATATTCGGGTCGTCTTCGGTCATATGGTGGGTGTTTGGGGTTTCTTGGGACCTCGGGTGGCTGTTCGGCCGAACTTCTGACCGATTTGGGCCCGCTGCCTGGGCCCAGCAGGGGGCCCCAGGAGCCCCCAAAGCCCTGGGGGCCTTCTGCAAGGGCGCCCAGGGGGGCCCTGGGGCCAGGGATCCGGGGGTCCCGTTTAGGGGGGGGGAAAAAAGAGAGAGAGAAGAGAGAGAAGAGAGAGAGAGAGAGAGAGAGAGAGAGAGAGGAGAGAGAGAGAGGAGCAGAGAGAGAGAGAGGAGAGAGAGAGAGAGAGAAGAGAGAGAGAGAGAGAGAGAGAGGAGAGAAGAGATAGACGAGAGAGCGAGAGGAGAGAGAGAGAGAGAGAGAGAGAGAGAGAGAGAGAGAGAGAGAGAGAGAGAAGAGGAGAGAGCAGAGAGAGAGAGGAGAGGAGAGAGAGAGAGAGAGAGAGAGAGAGAGAGAGAGAGAGAGAGAGAGAGAGAGAGAGAGAGAGAGAGAGAGAGAGAGAGAGAGAGAGAGAGAGAAGAGAGAGAGAGAGAGAGAGAAGAGAGAGAGAGAGAGAGAGAGAGAGAGAGGAGAGAGGAGAGAGAGAGAGACGAGAGAGAGAGAGAAGAGAGAGAGAGAGAGAGAGAGAGAGAGAGAGGAGAGAGAAGAGAGAGAGAGAGAGAGAGAGAGAGAGGAGAGAGAGGAGAGAGAGAGAGAGAGTAGAGAGAGAGAAGAGAGAGAGAGAGAGAGAGAGAGAGAGAGAGAGAGAGAGAGAGAGAGAGATGG